AGAGCGAGCCACTTGAGGACCGCTTGACCATAGCCATATTGGTTTTCGATGGTAGAATAAAATGGCTCAAATCCAATTAGAGTAATGGCTTGTTTCGCGTCCCACTAAGGTGCTTGCCTAACGCAATCGAGGTGGTTTCCATAACAATACCGTCTGAAGTGGCCATGGAAACACGGTTCCACTACGCCATCGGTATGCACAAAGGACGATGCGGACGCAGAAGGTCGACCGACCAGTCCCTGCGGCGAGAACGATACTCATTTCATCCATACCTTCACTCATTCGCGACATCATCTGGTGTGTTGTCCCGATGAGGAGGCCAAAAAAGAGTCAAGGAACCAGTTTCGGAAGTTTGCTAATCGCCAGCAATTCTTTCGCCGGCAATTTTATTAGTTTTTGTTTGAACTGTTGAAAGAGAAGCTCGATTCACTGTTAGGATTGAAGTGTTTGATGCATAGCCCGAATCTTCTCACTGTCCCACCTTTTTTCTTCAGTTGGTGAGCAACCGGAAAAATTTCTGGTGGAAAAGAAAGCACTGCACCGCGACGCGGAAGGCCTCATCGCGATGGGCTGGAATACTGGAAGAGAACTAGTCACAAGGCGTAAAAACACATCCGGCACTCGAGCAGAGCGATTCTGCATATCGGAAGAGTGGCGGCGTTTGGGCTGCGTGCGTCAGAGAATTGAGAATATCCTCAAGTGAGGAGGAAATGAGAGCCGAGACGATGAGGGTAACAACGTCGAATGTGGGGTGAAACCTCGATGGAGAGAGCAATTACCGGCTAGCGCACGACTAGTTGACGCGCAAAAACCGCGAAAGCACAAAGTAATTGGATAGAGAAAGTGGGACCGACGCGAAAAAGAGCGGTGAAGAAAGACTGATGGAATGTAGACGAATTACTGCATAAATAAGATTTCTGACTGCAAAGAGCGAAAGTGTTCAATTTCACTGAGAACTGCTTGAAATGCGCAGCCTAAGGTGAGTAAGAAAGGTCAGGCAGATAAAATGATATAATCAGCGAAAAATTAAAATTATTAAAAAATCCAAAATGAATAGGTTGAGAACGGAATTAGCACAGGTTACCTGCTTGAGAATAAAGTAGTATGTTCAGCTGATCAGCTGGTGGTAGATT